AAGCTCTGTAATGCTGCAACAGTCAACCTGGTATCTGACCACTACTAAGTGACTAATGGGCCGGCAGTGTATACAGCTGGATATGCTGGGCAGAGGGATAATTCACGTCCCGGGTGGGCTGGTACAAGATTTCATCACTCTCTGCTGCTGGGCAGAGGGATAATTCATGTCCCGGGTGGGCTGGTACAAGATTTCATCACTCTCTGCTGCTGGGCAGAGGGATAATTCATGTCCCGGGTGGGCTGGTATAAGATTTCATCACTCTCTGCGGAATGGCATGCAATTTAAAACTTAAGAATTGTTTATTTCTGGGATCTTACATTTAATATTTTCAGACTGCAGGTAACAAAGTGTGAAAAAACCACAGATAAAAGGGGACTACTGTAAAGCACTGTGTTCTTATGAGTTGTAGCTGCCATTGTGACAGCTGTCCACAGAAGAAGGCCAGGGAATGGTCAGCAGGTTCCTCAAACACAGTGTTCAGAAATGGGGTTCCCTTTCTCCCCAGATGTGTATCTTGTCCAGTGTCTAGCCAGGAGCCTAGGATGTGTTTTCCCCATCCTGTTGTCCCTTTCTCCTGTTTACTTTTGGCATTGTTCTGCTACTGTCATCATGACTGCCATTTCCCTAAACTATGCCATCCTTCCCCACCTTGATGGTCATGCTAGCTTTGTCCTTCTGCTTCCAGTCTGGCCCTCCTGCGGTCCATTCTCCCAGCACACAGGCAACGTGATCTTCTCCAAGGATGAGCATCTGCTTAAAGTCCTTCAGGGAGTGGTTTTGTGTTTCCTCTGGCATGAAAAGGCTGATCCCCACGTGCTCTTTCCTGTTCTTCCTAGCCCGACACCTGCTCAACTCTGCTGCTACTCCCTTTGTGTCCTTGCCAGAACACATTCTCCCCTCACCCCTCTTTACTCACTGACTCCTACTGAGCCTTCTGGTATCTGTGAAAATGACACTGTCTCTGGAAGCTCTCCCTGATTTGTCAGTTAGGAGTTCTTCCTCTGTGCCTCTTTGGGGTTCCTCTTATAATGACCCTCTTCCCAGGGTACTGTAGCTGTTCATTTTCTCTACTGGATTGTGAGCTCAGGAGCTACTATTTGAACTTTTTAGAAATATTCAAATATCACAGTTGGAAGGGTATTGCTATTTGTAATATCTGAGGATGGGCTGAGAATTTAGGACATCTTGATTCAGAAGAGGAATGGTTGAATAGTTTGGTGACATAAAAGTTTTCTTGAGCCTTAAGCAATTCCCCCTAGCTAGATCAAAAAAGCAGCTGCAAGTTTGTAAGCTGTGAAATGTGTCATAGCTCAATACACAGAAAACATAAACATGTTCCCTCAAAGTGTCTCTGAGGTGATGTTCGAAACAGATGTAGAGACCTTGAGCATTACAATTGTAGGAGAAAGATGGTCAAGATCTTAACCAGAGCTTCTCTACCTAGGCTGCATGTGAGAATGGCCTGCAGCTTTAAACATATCTCTGCTAGATGTTAAATCCAAAGCTCTGAGTGCTGGAGATGGAGCTTTGGTATTCCTTCCCAGGTGAGTCTCACACACAGCCCGGGTGAACCCGTCTTCTGCATGTTAGTCAGTATTAATCATTCAGGAAAGAGGGAGGAAAGTAAAACTGTGAAGGTGTAGATTGAGCTTGAACTGAAAACAGTCCATCCACACACACCCGTGTGTGTCTGGAGAGGCTTCTGGGGCTCATGCTCCAAAAGGGGACACGTACCCATAGTAGGCCGGTTCATATTTGGTTTATGTTGCCATTACGTAGCTATGTCATTTTGTGAAGTGGTTTGTGAAGACAATAGTACTAAGACAAATGTACTAAGACGGCTCATTGCATCCTAAAATTATGGCATTCCAGTGTAAAATATCTTTTTAAGATACCATGTAAGCTGTTAAATTTTGCCTATTGGCCTACCACTGCTCCTGGTATTGGAAATACATACTGGCCAGTTAGTTGCCTTCTAACTTGTTTATTTACAAAGCAAGGAGAGTAACCTGCCTCAGCCAGGGTGTCTGGGAGGGTGAGCCTCATGGGAGTGCCTACCACTGTGACATTGTGAGTGACCAAATAGTAAATGAATTTGAATGGAGACTCTTTGGAAAAACAAATCTTCACCATAGAACATTTAAATGTTCAGAAGCCTAAGCTGCATAAACCAGTGCTTTTTTAGTTGATTGGG